GTTCGCGTGGCGGGTGATCCGCAGGATGTCAATCAACGGGCCGCAGTTGTCTAGCTTGGTGTCTGGGGTGGTCCCGCCCCTCACCTACGCCGCCCACAAGGGCCAGGCCGGCCGGATCGGCATCATGGGCGGCTCGCTGGAGTACACGGGCGCGCCGTACTTCGCAGCCATGACGGCGCTCCGCATCGGCGCCGACCTGACGCACATCTTCTGCCACCGCGACGCCGCCGTGCCGCTCAAGTCGTACTCGCCGGAGCTGATCGTGCACCCGCTGCTGGACGCCAACGACCCCATGACCGAGATGGAGGAGTGGCTGCCGCGGCTGCACGCGCTCGTGCTGGGGCCCGGCCTCGGGCGGCGGCCGCAGACCTTCGCCACGCTCGGCCACGTCATCGAGGCCGCCAAGGACCGCCAGCTGTTGCTCATCATCGACGCCGACGCGCTCTTCTACCTCAACGAGAACTACGACACGCTGCAGGGCTACTCCAACGCCATCCTCACGCCCAACAAGGTCGAGTTCGCGCGCCTCTACAGAGCGATCATGAAGGGCGAGATGAAGGCGGAGCAAGTGACCCCCGAGCACGTCCAGCAGGTGGCCAAGAAGCTCGGCGTGACCATCGCTTGCAAAGGGAACATCGACGTGATCGCGAGCGGCGACACGCTGGTCACGTGCGACATCCCCGGCTCCCCGAGGCGCTGCGGCGGCCAGGGCGACGTGCTGAGCGGCGCCGCGGCCGTGCTGCACTACTGGGCCTTCGGCACGGCGGCGGCGACCTCGGAGAAACCCGTGTACCCCCCGGCGGTGGTGGCGGCATGGGGGGCGTGCGCGCTAACCCGGAGAGCAGCCGCCCTTGCCTTCAGCCAGCGCGGACGCGGCACGCTCACCACAGACATGTTGGTGTGCGTGAGCCAGGCCTTCTCGTCGCTGTTCCTGCAGAAGGCCAAGTAGGGCGGCCCGGCGGGCCTCGAGCTCCCTTCGTCCGTCCCGCCGCGTGAATGCTCCCGCCTTGTTATCACCAGTTCACCGTTTATTGTTGTTTGACATGTGTATTGCCACCATTCCCATCTGTTGTTATCGCCTATATTCGTCATGGGACACACACCACACACACACACACACACACACACACACACACACACACACACACACACACACACACACACACACACACACACACACACACACACACACACACACACACACACACACACACACACACACACACACACACACACACACCCTGTAGTCATATTTGATTTTTTGCTTGTGATGTAGCTGTCCGTTGGTAGACCCAGCCCCTCAGTCATACCGTAGCTAAAAGACTCCCTTCCCATTGACCTTGTTTGAAATTCGTGTCACCCAGCTGAACCTTTGACCCTCGTTTACGTTTTACGGAAGTTTTTTTTCGTAAGTTATATCTCACTCTCCGGTTAGTGATTTTTTTCGTAAACAGGCTGATGGCAGTCTCTAGGTGTTAAGATAGGGTACGGTAGTATTGTTTTAGTATTGTTTTACTGTAAAATCACTTGCTTACATGCATTATGAAATTGGATATTCTTTCATTACGATGTCAAATTGTTTTATAGAGCATTGTGTTATATTTCATGGTTCTAATGTTAAATTGTCTTATAGGGCATTTTGTCTATGATTCATTAGTCTTAATTCCTCTTTGTGTTGGGCATATACGATTATCTAGAAATTGTAAAGTAGCAGCAGTGCAAATTAGATAGCTACGTTCCACAAAGTAACATTTCTTCAAGTGAACACAAATACTCAAAACAGATATAACTACTCATTGTATGGTCATGTCTTTCATGGTGAGCAATTACACATACACACCGAGAAAGTTGCATTTCCCATATGAACTATCCTGATAAAAATTCTCTCTCGTGCAGAAATTTTCTTGTATTGTATAGCTGCTAGAGTGACTCTTCTCTTCTCTCATGAATCAAAGTTTTACACAAAAAATGTATATTAATGGTATCAATTATCAATTTCTTTCATGTAATACAGTTATCCAGATGCCTTTTATTCTACGGTTGGTTTTGTTTTTGAGGTTTGCGGATGTGCATGACTAAGAAATATAATTTAGTTAGGGATACATGATCACCTTTCCTTTTTTTCTCTCTTTCACTAAATAAAGGAGTTCTAGAGGTGTCATAAATTGAGATCATTTTCTGTTAAGTTAAAATATGAAAGAATTTTGGGATGAGGAATGCCTTTGATTTATTTTTATTCCCTAGGATGTCTTTGTAAACTGGGGTTAAACACGGATACTTTATGTCTGGGCACAGAAATGCTGTTGCATTCATGTTCATCTGTGAATATAAATAAAATCCTTTGTAATAATTTAGTACCTTTCTGTTCTCCACCATATATTTAAAAAAGAAGAAAGAAAGAAAATAAGAAATAAAAAGACAAAACTGAGAGTAAACATGAGAAAACAGAAAGGAAGGGTGGAAAGAAATTGTAGGAGAGGAAAGACAGCAAATAAAAAGAAAGGAAAAGACAGAAGGGGAAATTATATTCATTTATAAGTACATTATCTAATAAGCAAAGAAGAAACTATTTTTACCACCAAAATATTAACACTGAAGACAAATGATACATCTTCAATATTACATAAGGTTATGAATAAAGGAATGAATCAAAAGATCCATAACAGCTGAGGTAGTTTATGTTACATTTCTAAAAGTGCTGTCACACTAGCACTTTTTCCGTCAATTTTTGACAATTTTCTGAAATTTTGTCCATTTTTGAGCGAATTGTCTATTTTCCAGTCAGACGATAATGATCATTTCCATCTGAAAACCTTTCCGTCAACTTTTTTCAGCCAAGCAAAGTCAAATCAAGAGCTATATTCGAGAATGTTTGTATTTATGTTAAATATAATTGTCAAAAAATTGACGGAAAAAGTGTTAGTGTGACAGCACCTAAAGTCTTGTGTTAATGATACAGCATATGCCTTCACACAGGTGCAAACAAAGAGAGCAGTATAACAGAATTTGTTACAAAAAAGGATAGGTCCTCTGTTAATAAATTAATTTGTTATGTGAATGATCTACTTTTATAGAGATGCAAAGTGAGAGCACACTGTGAAAATGCAATATGATATATTATCTTAACCCCATGCCACTACGGATGGTATATCTGTATATGGTATGTCCACTGTGTGTTTAATTTAATATTTGTTTTTACACATACATAGTTCTACAAGTACTGTCACCAATTACTCAATTATAAGTACTACTTGTCTCTCCTGTTTACCCTTTTCCTTGATTTTCAAAAATATTTTCTGGTATCTAATATTTCTGTTAGTAATGGTAAGAACAGTATAGTAATTATGAAGTCTATAATAAAAATAACATTACCAATATTGATATCATTTGAAAAAAAAAAAAAAAAATTCCTGCAAACTCAAGAAAAAATGAAATCAGGTGAGGTCACAAGGTCTACTAATTGACTCCTAAGCACTTGCAGAACTAATTATGTGCAGAAACATTCTGCAGAACAATACAACAGTGAACACATTTTCCCCACAGGTATTGGGGTTAAAATCAAGAAAAAAATAAATGCATAAATTTATGAAGCTGGAGGATATGATGAAAATTCATTAAAATTAGCATGATTATCACTCAATATTTTTATTATCATCACTTTCCCAAATATATATATATACATATTGATGAAACAATCTAAACAATTCTACATCTTTAATACATGTTTATACATTATAACTCCTGATGAGCATCGTGCTATATGAAAAATGAAAATAATTTAATCTAGCAATTTAACGGCAAACAATAACAAATAAATTAATGAAACAAAAAAGTAGAGAAAGACAAATTGTGTTTCGTTTAGCTCTATCCCCATCACCAACTACAAAAACAAAGTTCTATTAAGCATTCTGTTTTGATAGTAAATGCAGGTTGAGAATTAACTTTAGACATGAAAGTAGAAGCTAAATACAGCTTTTACAAATACCTCTAAATAAAACTGGCTTATGGAAGATACACAAGAAGTTTTGGTTCTTTCTACTTTGAAACTAAAAGCATTGTCACCAGCTTAACTCATTTCACTAATACAATTTCTACAACATAGATTATCGGCAAAGGGAAAAAAATAACATAAGCTTCAAATCGTCAAATTGGATCCTAAATGAGACAATTTATTGAAAAAATAAGAAAATAATAATCTAAATGACTTGTGTACATTGAAGATTTTATATAAAGACTCTATACCATAAAATGTCAGTACAACAATGTAGCACTCAAGTTTAATAATATTTGCTGTATTCATTACTCACAAAAGTTCACTCAAATTACTTAGTTTATCCATAAAAAAAGAAAGTAGATAAACCTTTTCTGTAATTTGAAGCAAGTCAGTGAAAAACAACCAGTGAAATATAATGGAAAAAAAAAGGATAATTATAATTTCATTTTCATACTGTGGCTATTTTTCATTACCCTTGATTTCCCACTTGCTCAATTTCTCCAATGCTTGTAACACTCCTTCATTTAATCAGATCTTTCATCCTTTTCATGTGCACCAGATATCAAAAGTGCAATAAAAAAAAAGGAAAGGTGCTAATGGTAAACCAAATTTTTTGCCACACTGTTACATATGAAGATAAACAGATGGTGAATAAAAAATTACAGAAGCTATATCACAAAAAAGTTCTAACCTCCATAAATTGGTCTATCAAGATAATTGACAAATAAAAATAAACACATAGAAAAGCAATAAAAACAAAGAAAACATGGAAGCTAGAATTACTACACATACTTCAAAATAGTTGGTCAACAGTATATAAATAATTCAGAATTTGCATTGCACTTATAATCTTACACAAAAAAGTAGCTACCTTCTTATTGTTCAATGCTGATATAAAGGACAATTTAAAAATTACAACATGGGGTAAATGCCCACATACATACACTTATATTTATCATATATACATGCATATGGATATATTGAATATGAAACGTGAATTCAGACACATCAACAAACACATTCACATGTAACCATACATACTCACACAATCAAACATGATATTCTTATTCTTATGCAAAGTATTCATCATTACAGAACACCTAAAAAACATTTTAAAAAAGATACTTAGAACCATGATGGTACATCTGTATTTCATCATGAATCCTGTGATTATACTTGTTCATTAATAATAAAAAAATGTTTTGAGATATTAATTTTTTATCATTACCATCACTTATGTAAATAAAATTAAAAAAAATACTTAGAACAATGATGGTACATCTGTATTTCATCATGAATCCTTTGATTATACTTGTTCATTAATAGTAAAAAAAATGTTTTGAGATATTAATTTTTTATCATTATCATCACTTACTTATGTAAATAAAATAAAAAAATACTTAGAACAATGATGGTACATCTGTATTTCATCATGAATCCTTTGATTATACTTGTTCATTAATAAAAAAAAAAAAAAATAATAATGATAATAACAATAATAATTTTATCATTATCATCACTTACGTCTATTGGTACAATAAACCTATATATTCCCAACAACCATGAAAGGCACATATTCCTTATCGTGAGAAAAACTGACAGGCTTCATATTTCATTTTCCTTCACAGTTTTCTGGTTCAGATTGAATAAAGTTTGGTATACTTATATATCTATGACTAATATAAAGATAAAGAACCAAGAAATTGTTCAATTTTCTGTTTTATCATTCAATATTCAATCTTTCTTTGTGCACAGCAGATTATACTATAGTACTTTGGTCGTAAGTAGACAGCCACATAGTCTTTCTTAGTTATTTTATATGATATTCATGACCTGGCTATTCATATTTCTGGTCAAATTTGCCATCAGCCTTGAGTTCTCATTTGTTTTTTTTTTCAACTTTTATAAATGCCGCAGAGCTAAAGCAAATTGCAAACTTTATCTTTCAGTATAAAAAAAAAACTCTGTAACTCCTCATTCTACAATTCTGGATGAGGCCTGAGAAAAAAATACAATAACAAAAGATGTGTATAAATCTCATTCACACATTTGCAAGGAAACTAAATATAGGTGGGAATTTAAGCCTTGCAATTTATTCATCAAATAAATTATTATCTATATTTACAGATAGCTTGAGAGGTAAATGTACAATAAACAGGGCGCTGTTTATTGAAAATAATACTAGAGATATTTATTGCCAAATAGGAAATGAACTCTATCCAACAATGCTAATATCCTTAATAAAAGACTCTTGCAGGTACGTTAAAGTACAGCACATGCTCACAGTTTACTACTTAGTGTTTACCCAAGTGCCTTTTCCTAGCTTGTGATGGTCTGCCTCTCAACCAACTTGCGGAAGATGCCATTGGGTTGTGCCATTAAGTCTTTATAGGAACCGAGCTCTGCAATGGTTCCATCTTGGAGAACAGCAATTTGGTCTGCATTTCTATAAGGGGAAAGTGTGATTTAATACATGAAATTAGAATATATAATTTTGCACATGAAATGATGACTGAAACTACTGACTACAACCCCTCATGTACTGAGATAGTACTAGGGAAGGAATCTAATTTAAACGAGTGTTTTAAGCACGTATTTTAAAATCCAGGTACATTAGAAATGTATCTCTCACAACTTCTATACATACCTAATAGTTGAAAGCCTGTGTGCAATGGTGATCACTGTTCGTCCTTCCATAAGTCTCTCCAGGGCTTCCTGGACTAAACTTTCACTTTCAGCATCAAGGGCACTGAAGGGGGAAAGTCTTTTTACTGTATCTTGCAAAATAACTGACATTAGAAAGAATGAAAGAAAGAGAGAGAGAGAGAAAAAAATGCCTACTATTTTATTACTACAATAATTTTTTTTTTCTATTGTCTTTTTTGCATACTGTACTGCTTTAAAGTCTAATCACACACACACACCACACACACATGCACAAAAACACTCACACACACACACACACACACACACATATATATATATATATATATATATATATATATATATATATATATATATATATATATTATATATATATATATATATATATATATATATATATACATATATATATATATATATATATATATATATATATATATAATATATATATATATATATATATATATTTGGGGCACCTTTCCGGGAGGGGCAAAGTCACTAAAATAATTTAAGAAAATTGTCATCTGAGTTACTCATCATTACCGATGTAAGAGTTTTTAACATATTGCCATTGTAAGTGTTTTAAAAATACTGCATTCAAGTTCGTATCGACAATGCACTGCCTATCAGATTTCATTAATTTTCAATAGCCAAAATACCTCAGAGAACCTCACAGATGCACAGAGGGATGACTATCATTTGGTATTAAATACATAAAAAGCACAATTTAAGACTGGAAGAAGAATGGAAATGCAAGAAAAGTAAAGAAAATGGCAAGACCAGACTAATGAAAACTTTAGTACAAACGAAAGGCAGTCCATCCCCACCTGGTAGCTTCGTCCAGCAACAAGATGCGAGGATTGCTGATGATAGCTCGGGCAATGGCAATCCTCTGTTTCTGGCCGCCGGAGAGCATGACTCCTCTCTCCCCCACTAGGGTATCAAAGCCCTCGGGGAAAGAATTAATGAAGTTCAGGGCGTTGGCCTCCTGCGCTGCACTAACCAGCTGTTCCTCGGTGATGCTGCTAGGATCCTGGGCACCATAGAGGAGGTTTTCACGGATGCTGGTAGAAAAGAGGACGGGTTCCTGTGTTGTGGGGATTTAAGTTTGAGGAAAGAGCAAATTTAAAGGGGTTAGCATATCTAGTCATTATGATTCTTATTATTCTTATTTGAATAAATATCTTACTTCTTTATTACACAAACATTCATATTTTTAACTAGATATATTTTTTCTACCAAATATTAGATTGAACAAACATAGCAACAAGAAAAAAGATATACACATGCACATACATAAATACATATCTATCTATCTATTTATATATTCAAATATACATAAGTATACATGTAATGTATGTATTTTCTAGTATGTTTGTATATATATATGTATGTATGTATGTATGCATGCATGTATTATGCATGTACGTATGCATGTATGTATGTATGCATGTATTATCTATATATATATATTATATATATATATATATATATATATATATATATATATATATATATATATATATATATATATATATATATATGCATGCATGTGTAGGTATGTATGTACTAACTACCCAAAACTCCTAAATCTATGTCCTATCTCACCAAAAAAAGAAACTTTACCTGACTAACGGAACCAATGAGAGCGCGCAGCCAGGCTGGATCCAACCGAGTGATGGGCACACCATCCACTGTGACCTCTCCAGCAATTGGGTCGTAGAGTCGCAGAAGGAGAGAGCCAATGGTACTTTTTCCCGAGCCACTTGCACCAACGACAGCCACGACTGAGCCTAAAGGGTAGGTGTGTTTAGGTTCAGCGTAGAAAAGGTATGATCGTATAAATGAGAATTAATATCTTCACAGTGCAAGAGATATATTTGACTTGTTTTGATTATATCTTCATCAGTAATACATGTATTTCTGACAGAGATATAATCAAAACCAGTCAAATACGTTCTTATTCATACCTTTTGTACATTTGTAGATATGAACACTATTCATAAATTCAGTGTGTAGATGTATTTGACACTATATTCTTGATTATAATTATCAATTTTGCATATATATATATGCACTGTGATATGCTTGTGTTTTCATAAGTTTGTCAGAGCATAGGTTTAATATGTTTTAATGAGTTTTCTTAGGTTTCATAAATTATGCATGTGAAATATAGTTTCTCAAGTTCGGTGGCTTACGCAAATATATTTAATATGGTATATCTAAATGACTTTCTAGATTCATAGGTACAGAAATATAGTTATTAGGCTAAAATATGTCTTAATTTTAGAAATTTAGGTAAATGGATTTTCATTTAGTAGATAATAATAGTAGCAAAGCTTCACTTTAACATGCTAATAAAGAATTTAGTTCTTACCAGCAGGAACGAAAAAGTCAAGGTCTTTAAATAGTGTAACATCAGGTCTCGATGGATAAGCAAAATTTACATTGCTAAAGCGAATTTCTCCTTTCACCTCATTCACAGGGAGCGTTAAACCTGAAAAATAACAAATGTTTATCATCAACAATGTTGAATACTTTTGAATATCTTTTACTGATCATCTGAATGATGTTCTTGTAAAATTTCCTAATAACTTACTCCTTCTTTTCTTAAAGCCTTTCACTTCAAAATAAAATTTACTTTCCCACCACAATAGCTTTTAGTTTATATAAAAAAAGGGCCAAATGGGTAAGAAAAACAAAAAAATCCACATGCACTGTCCACTGAAGTTTTATTTTACTGGTTTTGTTTAAACACAGATTGATGGCTCCATTGTAGTCAACTACTAGGCTTACCTGACTAAGAAGTTTTTGATCATTTTTCTTTACTGTTACTACCGGTAATAACATTGTAATCACTATAACTGCTATTACATTTATCCTCAAAATTATTTGTTTTTTATTATTTTCAATATTATCATCCTTAACTCCATGTTATTAACCTGTTTGATCCAAGTGCCTTGAATCCCCCATTAGACCCAAAAGCCAGGCATTAGGCATACTTGGTAAGCAAATCTCCCAGGCTTGGTCTGCACAAAAGTGTGCATGGTGTCAAAACTCCTTGCCTCCCCTTTGCAATGTCTACATAAACCATTTTTTGCTTCTTTGCTTTTTGTCATTTGACATGCTGCATCAAGATGGTAATGGACTTTTCATTATACAGACCATGTCATCTCTCTAGGTATTCTATAACTCTGTGCACTAACTATAACAATAATTAATGTTTTGTAGTTGTGTAATTTTGCTTTTATTTTTGTAATATCAATTTTTTTGTAATACACCCTGCCCTGCTGGTCATGGCAGGTAGGAATAGAATCCTAAGTATGTTCTATATGTAACCTGTGCTCTTCTAATCATATCACACGGATGGTACATTCCATACTCATTTACTGGGAGAAATCACCCTCCATGAGCTTTGTGCACTCATGGCAAGTCATTCCTTTCACCTTGCTCTCGGCCAAATTTTTTTAGGATGAGATGGTCACGTCATCCAGATCCAGCGGGTTAATAGCAATAGAAATAGAAACCTTCTTCCTTAAAATTCAAAGAATGCACTATCAGTCACAGACAAAACCACATATCACTCACTCCCTGGCCCCTGTATCTCCAACCTACCTCCCATTGTTGGAATGGCTGGCTCGCGGTCCATCAGGGAGAAGAGCCTGGTTGATGCCCCAATGCCGCGGTTCATCTCTGAGTAGAAGGAAGAAATCCCCCCTAATGCAATGCCCACATAAGCCGCATACAGGAGGAAGGAAGACAGCTGCCCAACGCTAAGGGCAGACTCAGCCACGAGACCTCCTCCATAGTAGAGGACTGACAGGATGATAATGTTGCCACTCAGCCCTGTCTAGAGTTTGGGTGTTGGGGTTGGAAAGGTGTTAGAAAGAGGAGTAATATATGAGGTAAAGGTGAAGAAGTGAAAAATGAAGAAATCATCTAAACAATATATATACACATTACCGTATTTGTCAGCCTATATGACGCTCTTTTTATCACAAGATGAACACGAATATGTAGCCCGTGTTACATATAATCCTATCAGTACAGCAATATAACATAATTCATATCCAGCTAACTGATGTCAAACACGTTGAGCTACTAGGACATTTCAGCAACCATCCTTCCACAGAAAATAAAACTACACAAGATAATGGTATATATTTTCTTTATCATTTGTCTTAATACAAATATTGCGCAATTATGAAATCTGGCCATCCTTGTGGCGTGCATGAAATGACATAAATAAAAAAATCTAGAGAATTTTTGAGTGTCATGAAATATATGACATTAATTAGAGTACTGAACAGTGACAAGTAAAACTTTGTTCAAACCTTTATCTAAATTTATGAAGCTTTATTAACATCTTTGACTGCTAAACTTTGAACCTTGTCATGCTATACTAGAAGGCTGAAGGTGCATGACCTTGAGCTCATTAGGCCATTCATTTCTGCTGCAAATTCTATATGTCATAGTTATGCCAGACAATCACTAATGCTCCATGTTATTTGCTAGGTTTGGCAACTCTACTAAATTCAATATATTCAATACATATCATACTAGTAGATTTTAGTTTGGCTGGGGCTTATTTGTTATAAACACATCAGTCCTTGAAAAATCACTAAAATAAGTTTCCATAAATGTATAAAAATGTATACTGCAGTTCTTTTTGTTCTCTTCACAAATGTTATGTAAACTAGGAATGTGTTTTATAGGCCTCAAATACCGTAAAAAGCACAATAATCATGAAAAAACATATACAATTAGTAGCATCACAATAAAAATCAAATCATCACAAATAGAAGCAATAAGGCTAAGCTCGTTAAACTTTCACAAAACTTCTTCCTTACCATCCCGAAAAATATTCCTTTCGCCAATGACTCCTTGTATGTGAGCTTGAGAACATGATCGATCTTAGAGTCGTACGTTTGGATTTCCTTGAGTTCTTGTGCGAAGGACCTGACTGTGCGGACGTTGCCAATTCTTTCTTCAGCCACTTGAGTTGCCTGAGCTAGCGTGTCCTGCGGAAAGTGAGTATGTTAAGTAATGGTCTTTTCCTCATGATCTGTTTTCTACTGTAAAACAAAAATGAAGAGATACCATTACTGTAGCCGTTGTATAAAAAGATATTGGGGAATAAGGGTATCAAATACAATCAAAGTTTTGCATATATCGTTGTGTAAATATACAAATCACACTGAGCTATGAAACAAATAAAACTTATATTTCTTATAGGACTTCCCTCCCTTTCCACGGGCCCTTCTGATCATAGTTACTCAATGATTTTCTGAGTTGAAGCCTTTTAAGAGGGAGAAATGGAATTTAAAAAGAGGAAGAAAAAGTGAAATTGGCAAAAACAAACCAGAAAACAAGCATAAGACTAAAACAAACCTGGACACTCTGTGTAATTTTGCGCACATAGCGACCATATGCTATTGCAAGGAGAGCTACAGGTGGTACAATACTCAGACCAACAACGGCTAGTTTGGTAGACATGTAAAACTGTAAAAAGAACAAAAAAATATATAGTGAAACAGTCACTGCAATTTTCCAAACAATGCAAAATTTCTATATTCTCAAAATGTTATAATGAGAATAATTTCAGAGATGGAGTTGATTCAGCACTAATCAAGGACAAACAATTTTCCATATATTAACTCATAAGCACTTAAACTAATTCTAAACAACAATAGTAATACTCTTACCATCATTCCCACCCCTGCCATGGCCATGACAACTGACCGCAGCCCATCAGAGATGTTCATGGTGACTGACTGTGAAACAAGGGACGTATCAGCTGAGAGGCGGTTAATCAGCTCCCCAGTCTTGTTGGTGTCGAAGAAGCCAATTTCTTGTTTCATCACAGAAGCGAATACTAAAGAGCGCAGTGCCCGGGTTATGCGCTGGCCTGGAGGGTGGGAGGAAGTGGGTGAGTGTTGATGGGTGGGCAAGCATGTGTTAGGGGTAAGGCACTGGCTGTAAGAACAACTTATATTTGTGAATGGACAGTTAATACAGGTGATTTCAAAATAGTATAAATAGGAAAACTCACTGAACTGTAATTTGCACATCAAGCAGCAAATGGACTACTGGTTCTTCCAACACTTGTCCCTCCCCCCGACAAATGAAAGAAAGGAAGAGAAAGAATGCACGCATGCTTGTATGCATATATATATGTGTCTATCTGTGTATCTCTCACCCTCCCTCTCCCTCTCAATATATATACACAGCCCTCACCCTCGCTCTCTATATATGCTGTATATGCATATATGTGCACAAATCCTGCCAGAAGGTAGATAACGGGTCTCCTTTGATCCAGAGTCCCTCTCCTCACCTGCTATGTTCATGAGGTAGACACGGCCAAAGTTGGCTGATGCCCCCAGAAGGAATATCCCGGTCAGGGCAAGGCAGACCTTGTCCAGATTCTGTTTCATGGCTTCTGGGTCAGCTGTGTAAATGATGTCGATGACATGGCCCAACGCAAAGGGCACTGACATTGTTATCGTACTTGAGATTGCCAGAAGACCAATAGCACCTGTAATGGGGAGGATATGATCTATAAATTCCGTAAAACAATAAATTCCACATATCTGTTACATACAATCTGTATCAAATTTTAAACTTTAGATCTAAAAATATATAATTCAGCATATCTGTAAATCATGAAGATACATATGAGTAATAATGTAAAAAAAAAAACGGCTAGACCTCTTCCTCAAGAAGGATAATGGTATGTTGTAGCAAACCACCCTTGCAATTTGACATTCTCTCTTTATCTATATTCAAAACCTAATTCACGTATAACTAAACTCTGGAAAAACTTTCCATTCACATCAGCTACATTTCTTTATTTAAACACAGCAGGCAACATCTTAAGACACTCTGCCAAGGAGGAGTTCTGGCTGCAAGCAATGTCCGAAGATGAATATTTATTGATATTTTTTCAAGACTTACAAAGGGATATATAAGCTGATTTGCAGTATAATGCCACCACAATTATAACAAGCATTTCATGTGATGTCTAAGTAACACAAATGAAAGAAAGACGAGCTAATAATTTAAATTAAATGTGGCATATGAAAATTGCACTCTCTAGTGCTACTGGTGAAACCCCTCCTCTCACCCTCCCTCCCTCTCTCTCTTTCTCTCTCTCTCCACTCCTTACAGCTTATTGCATGTGTGTGTGTTTATGCATGTGTGCATGCATGTGTGTGATGCACACACAGACACATAGGGAGATGGAAAGAGAGGAAGGGAGGGAGGAGAGAGAGGGAGGGAGGGAGGAGACAGGTAGGGAGTTACGGAGGAGGGGAGGGAGGGAGGAGGGAGGGAGGGAGGGGAGAGGGAGGGAGAGGGAGGGAGGGAGGGAGGGGAGGGAGGGAGGGAGGGGAGGGAGAGGGAGGGGAGAGAAGAGAGAGGAGAGGAGAGAGAGAGAGAGAGAGAGAGAGAGAGAAGAGAGAGAGAGAGAGAGAGAGAGAGAGAGAGAGAGAGAGAGAGAGAGAGAGAGAAGAGAGAGAGAGAGAGAGAGAGAGAGTGAGAGAGAGAGCAAGAGATGAGAGACATACAGTACACACACACACACACACACACACACACACACACACACACACACACACACACACACACACACACACACACACACACACACACACACACACACACACACACACACACACACACACACACACACACACAACACGTTCCTCCATTATTACCCTCTCCAAGATCCCCGGAGTGAAAACTTACCGGCTAGAGTCCATTTCTCCGGAGCGGCCAAAGCAAATAATCTATTATATTCGGTGGGTTTTATCTTCTTTAATGAGGTACTGGAAGTCTGTGTTTTTTCAGCCGGCAAGTGAATGGAGGTGTCGGCTGCACTTCCTCGTCTGAGTTGCTGTTGCTGTGCATCTAGAATGTGAAAAGTGCTGATAAAATGAAAGAAAAGAGAGTGAGAGAGAAAATATATATAGACATATATAATAAGAATAGAATTTTAAAAAAGAGGATAATCTTTAAAAAGTCATATATAACAGTTGCAGATTAAAGGAAAATGCCTCACTATCTTTCATTTTTCAAGCTGTATAGTTGATTTTCATTTTTGTTCAGAGGAATACACAAAAAAAAACATTAATAATAACAACTGTTGTACTGTTGGTAGTAACAATACTAGTAATAATGCAAATAATGCTAATATTAATAACAAAATAATGTCAATAATAATGATAATAATTATAGTATCAATAAAAGCAACAATAATAATGATGATGATGATGATAACAATAATAATAATAGATGAAAAAAAAAATAAATGGTGATGATGGTAATGATAATAATGATTAAAA